TAGTTCATTTTAAAATGTGTGAACTGAACTTTGAACTAGTTCACGTAGAAAGAGAACTTTCCCAACACTGCTGAACTTCCTCTCTTGTTTTTTGAAGATGTTTTGACTCATTCCTCCTTAATCATCCCGCTAATAGCCTTAATGACCTTATTAGTGTGTCTACTCTAATTAGAACTGATAATCCAATTATTTTGAACCAACTCCAAGAATAAATAGGGCCTTTTAAATGAGACGAAAACAACTTTATTATATACAACTTTCAGTTGACTTTTACTTAAACCTTTAGAAAAAAAATAGACATTTCTCTATGAACTGATGTCAGATATCCAACTTAAAATGTTATGTATTTGTATAATATTGAGGGGAACGTCTATATTTGAGTCTGTCAGTATAAAAAAACAAAAACAAATACAGTTTTTTTTTTACAGTTTAATCATTGCACCCTGGATACAGTTCAGAAGTTAAAAAAGTCAATAACTGTCCAAATACCTTCCTTGACTGCAATGTTTTGCAGTTTAATGTTTGATATCGAATGTAAAAATCCCTGAGTCCTGAACAGTATTTTGTTTCCACTAAATGTGGTGCAACAGTGCACATTGTCATTCCAACCGCATCAACTGGTGCTCAGCATCATGTTGCCAAGACGACATGATCATAGCTTGGCAGCAAACTCGCTTCTCCGTTGTTAGGAAGAGGAGCACGCAAACACGCTGTCCTCTGCAGGAGCACGCAGCCCTGCACTGTACACAGATAAATAAAGGAGCCCGCTGCGCCGCTGGTGAATGGGCCGTGTCATAAGATTGGCTTCTGAATCTAAATCTGGAGGGGTGCACGACTGCTGGTGCCAAATGAGACTGACTTGATGACGGGTCAGGGAGCTCTGGAAGTCACAGAATCTCTGAATTCAGCAGCATACAGACACTCTGAAAAGTATTCAGGGCTTTACAAAGCTATTTACACATTTGATGATATAACAAACAAAGGTTTATAGTTCATATACATCATGTGTGATAGACCGCATCACAGAATGTATAACCTTAAAATAGAAAAGAAATTAAATTTGGTTCTCAACAGTATTTTTCCCTCATATCTTAAGGTGAAACGTGTTTGTATTCAGCCCCTAATTGAATATTATTTCCCAGTAGTTACAGGAAGACTTTAAAGGTATAGAAGATGATGTTTTATTTCCAGGTGGATCATCTAAATAAGTGGTCCTCCTAACTGTCAATCATTCTGATGATATGTTTACGTGGTTGACAGTGATTGAAGCTCACCTTTCTCACCGCGGTTCGTTGAAAATAGCCGAGGGTCGTAAGAGAAAAAAGTGTCTACGAAGTGACAGAGAAGAAAGGCACCAGAAGAGGAAGATATATCCCAGAATGCTTTGCCTGGAAAGCTCTCCTCACAAAGCGTAAGCAAAGCGACGAATAACAAAGATGGCGCAGACACCGCGCAGTGGAGCAGAAGAACGCTTGTCCTCTGTTGCCCCCTCGTGTTTTCTTTTCCCTTGGCTTTCTCGTCAGCCCAACTCACACCTGCTCCTTATCAGCTCGTTAGTCCTGCCATAAATACACTCACCGGCCACTTTATTAGGTACACCTGTCCAACTGCTC